TAGATGAATCTCTCATCGCTGCTTAACATTTATGACAGGAATTAAATCCAGATAACTGACTCAAGTTCCATTTCTCAAGGATATTTTAAGTCCGACTCACTTTGATGAAATGGGACATTCATCACAAAAACGGCCTTTGTATACATCGAACCCACATCAAAAGGAAGCATGTTCTAAGTGTCCTTTCAGCATGGAATCCAGGAAAGTTACACAACAGCAGCAAACCACTTGTTTTTTCTTTGGACTCTTTTTTTTTTTATAGTTCTTTAAAATCTTCTAAGGCATCTTAAAACATCAAGCACAGGCATTATAAAATATTATACTGTCCTGGCTTAGTAGGTTTACATTGAAAACAGTGTACTAAAATTAGCTAAAATTAATTTTTTATATAGAAATTCTTTATATGAATTAATTCCCACAGCAACTCTACAGAGTCAAATATTTTTTCTACTTCACAGATGAGTAAAGTGAGACTTGGAAATAGTAAGTAACTGGTCCAATGTCATTATGGTAAGGATTCAAACTCAGGCCTGGCTAACAGCCCAAATCTATCATATTCACCACTGGCCCATCCTGCTTCTAATAACCTCGCAAATTCAGCAGAATTCATATGCAGATTTTTTTTTACTATTTCATCTTTTATAGCTGAGAAAGGGAGGCTGTGGTTATGGCATGAAAATGTAGAGAACAGTAACCTGGGGCAAAGGAAGCATTCCAAATTCAGTTTACTTGGAATTTAAAAACGAATACCCTCCGTACAATGGAGGAATTACTATCTTCCAGGTGCCATAAAAGATCTATCTCCTTGTCATTTTTATTTCTTGTCTCTCTGACTTTTTTATCTAACCATATTAAGAATTGGAAAATAAAAATAGTTTTTACAGTTTCTATTTGGAGCGTTTGACAGAAAGCTCGAGGTCTTGGACGTAAGTGAACCTCAGAACTGGAAAAGAGGTTATGTTTTCTATGTTTTCCTCCCTTTTCAGTTCTTTCTTCTTCTATTCATCATCCATGTCTTGCCTGTTCCCCCTAGTTTCACTAAGGACCACCTGATGTCTAGGGTCGGGGCTGACAGACCCACCCTTCATCAGAGGAGCTCAGAGATCACAGGAAGACCCTGGGGTCACAGACACCAAGGAAAGAAGAAGGAAGAACAAGAGGGAAGTGGCAAGACATACAGTGAAAAAGAAAGAGGAACCCCGAATGCTGTTGGCCGGAATGGCTGGGAATGAAGGTGACTACACTCAACTGTTGAATCTGGACTTACGCTGTTGCTTTCTATTTCTATTTACCTTCTTAATTTTTTTTTTATTTTTTGAACATAGAATTTCTTCTCAGCTTTATTGAGACATAATTGACATATGACCTGTGTAAGTTTAAGGTACCAACATGCTGATTTGATACATTTATATATCGCCAAATGATCGCCACCATAATCTCAGCTACCACCTCCATCCCATCACATGGTGACCATTTCTTGTTTGTGGCACGAACATTTGAGACCTCCTCTCTTAGCCCTTGTTGCCTTTTAGAACGTGGTCCTGCACTGTGCTCCGTCACTTGCCAGCAGGAGGCCAAGACTTGTTCAGTGAAGAAGTCCAACTTTTGCTGGACGTGCTTATGGCCCCAGGCCCAGTGCCTAGTATGAGTTGCCTCAAAGAGTCAAAGATTCCCCATGGGAAAAGCCAGAATAAGCCAGAAAACATTAGAAAACATGTTCCCTGTTTAAAGAGGAGACGTTTAATCTTCTCCTTTTTATTTTTGCTAAGCTCTCCTTCCTTCCAGGCCAAATTAAGGGGTAACATTGACACCAGCTCCAGGAAAGAGGTGCTAACCTTTCCCTAAGCCGACAGTCAAGGTGGTGGTGCTCCCTCTGAGCTGGGAGTTCTTACCTGTCAACAAGAGAAGACAGAGATTAAAAAGAAAGATGGATGAGCAGGAAGGAGTAACCTACTGCTCTTACAGCCCGCCTCATGCTCTCACCTCCTGAGAGAGCCCAAGGACCGAGAGGCATTGGCTGGACACCATCACACGGATTTATTCCAACCGCTTCCTCTGTCTAGAGTGGACTTTCCTCATTCAGGATCAGGGGCAATGAAGGTGCAGCAACAGGCAGTGATTTCAGGGGGTAATGAGATGAAAAGACAAAATAGCTCTGCCTTCCCAATTCCTTGGACAGTCAAGCCTAACGGGACTGTTTTCTGGAAGTGGCTTTTTAGGCATTTCAGCGGGAAGTCTCATCATCCAGGGTCTGTTCTGTACCTTGGTTGTTACTGTTATTTCTTTTATTTTTCTCTTTGCCTTTTAAGATGGCTATGGCAGAGGAGGAATAATCATGAAGTTTTGTCCCTAGTACTCTCAGCAACACTTCTCTCCCACTGTCGAACCACGGAGACCTGCTGTCCCACAAAGACCTGGCCCTCCATCAAGGTGTTCCGTGTCCTGGATCTGCTATGATCCCCATAAATATTGGCTCAGGACCTCCTACTTTACAATCCTGCTAAGTAACTATCTCATTGTTTTAGACCTTTTACTTTCCTTAACCCCCCACATATTTGACTAAACAGATCAGAGCCACCTAAACAAGTCCATTTTCATCCACTTTTCCTTCCTTCTCTGCTGTCTCTGAGGAAGACCCATTTGTTTTCCTGGCCCAGGTTAAGAGTCACGTTCCTGATACCACCACACCCTTCCATGTCCTCCAGATTGATGGTCTAGGAATTGCCTCCTTTAGCTATTGAAAATCTCTCTTCTTCTGGTTCCTTCCTCTCTGGAGGCAGCAGTGGACAACTCTTTCCAGGCTGAGCACAGAACCTGGCACATAGTATATGCTCAATTAAGGTAAGTGCTCAACTAATATCTTATTAAATAAGACCAATGCAGCTGCTCCCTCAAACAGGGCCTCCATGTTACACAGTTCTAGGGGGCGCCATTATATTTTATTCTGTGTGAATGGCACCCCGTAAAGCTCTACACTGGAATACTATTGTCCTTTTCTAAAACAACTGTCACAGAATTTGCACAATACTTTTTAAACATGACCCTGCAAAGAATGAGTATCTTCTGAAAGCCAGTTTTTAAAGTAAGTCCATTTCCATCCAAGAATTTTTCAAAATAGGAACTGAACACATTCTGAAAGTTTTTTTGCCTCCATACTGAGGGAGAGAGGACAGTAAAATCCACATACAGATATCTCCTCACTTTATTACAGGTCTAAGGCTGTTCATTCTCTAAAAGAAAACATGCTTGAAGGAATAGCACAATAATTATAAAAAGTCTGTGTTGGTATATTGGTTTTAAAAGGAAAAAAAAGAATTTTTAAAGGAAAGTATTCTAAAACCCAATGATCCAAACACCAATCCAATATGTTTGATTTGGGAGTGCTTTGCCAAGACTTGTCTCCACGCATAGATAAATGAAGTAAATTCACTGAACCAAACCTTTAGAATTGCCATTTTCAGAGCTTCAGGAATCACAGAAGAATCTAGGTGTGTAACCAAACAGGATCTTGGCCCAAGCCCTTTGCCAAAACACATAAATACTTCTAGATACTCCTTCCACATATACAAGAAGCCTACATAAATCTAACTTTTAGAGAATGCCTCCTTTAGATGAAGTTACGTGGACATGATTTACAGACTCAGTAGTTCCGTTTAATGGGCAAAGATTAAACAGATTTTAAGCAAATGAAAGTTTGGTGAAAAAACAAAAAAAGAACATGGAAGGAATTTAAGGCCCCACACTATGCTTCTATAGAAAAAAACAATTTCCTTATTCTTGAGGCATATAGCCACCCTGAGCTAAAGGCAGGTCTTGTTTGAGTGGAGAAGTAAGTCTTCCAGCCAATCATTTGCTAACCCAGTGGGTAATTTGTTCCAAAAATAAGCATTGCTTGCCAAATGTGCTGTCCTTCATTGGATTGGATCTGAGTGGTTGCCACTCCATATAATTCAGTCTTTGAGGGAAACTGTGGAGCCACCCACATCCTAAATCAGTGACAGTTTAAGGAAAAAAAAAAAGATTTACTTGAATTTGTGTTTACCTCTCCAGCTTCATTTCTTGACAGTCTTTCTAAATCTAACTGTGTGCACATGTGTATACACAGATATGCACCAACTCATGCACACACTGCACTCTACTCTCCAGCCACACTGAACTCTGTGCAATATTGGAAATGGCCCACCTTCTCTTCATCTCCACCCCTTTGTAGATTCTGTTCTCTGTTTGCAACAGCTTTCCTATTCCCATGCACATTTTTTGTCTCTCATTTGAGACTCAGCCTCGATGGTGCCTCACCCAGGAAGCTTTCCCCAACCTGTCAAGTCTGGCTTAGTTTTCTATTCTTTGTAAATACCCTCATAGGGCTCTGCAAATGCCCCCATCCATAGTATGCATTACAGTTTCTTCTTTGGTTATGTATTCTCCCACTAAGCTACAAACTCTTTGAGGATAAGAACTTTAAACTGGGTTTAGTGAAAACGTGTTGACTAAACAAACACTGGATGTTAACTCACTCCTGTCCTGACCATCCTTATAACGTTTTTCACTGCTGTCCACATGAACAGGTTAAAAGACTAGATAATTGACGCATAGCAAATAAATGAAGAACACTGTGCATAGTCATGATACTTAAATTTCAACTCCTATGATCCTTGATTTCCTTTAGGTTTGTGTCTAGAAAATTGAAAAAAAGCTGGAAAACCTGCTAAACCAATGGACACAATTCAGTGCAAATTGCATTCCGGTTATGGGAACATTGAGAAAGAGGTGTTGCTAATTTGGGAAGGTTTGATGGAAGTTCTCAGGTTTTGATGAAACTAATGGACGTAGAAGATGTCAGTAAAGGGAAATAGACACAGGATAGGCAGAATGTAGACAGAGAGGAGGAATAATAAGGAAAAAAACCACCTAGTTTGACTTCCTTGCATAGGAAACTATCAGAAACAAAGACTGTCTTGGTAAGGAATCTCCTGTGCAAACAACCTTGGGCAGGTCCTTACCCTCTGGCCTGGAGAGCCATCGCGTCCTGGTGAACCAATGCTTCCCGGGATACCCTAGGTAGAGCAAGGACCGAAAAAAGTCAGAGTCATGGAAATCAGAAATCAACTGCCTTTCCACCCAGCTTCCCTGAAATAGATCAAGACCTCCAAACAAACGTAATAGCATAAAGGTGAATCCACCTTTATATCCAGAATCCAGAAATGATTTATATGAAAGAAATGTTCCCCACCCAGGCTTGCCCTCCAGAGCATCAGTATGACTCTCAGAGACTACTAAAGTGAATGGATACAGGCTAACAGTCTTTAATACAGAAACCACTTACTGCTAGAATCACAGCTGACTTTAGAAGCTACAGCCTTTCCCACCTTCCCACCCACCCCCCTAACCTTGGCAAGGCTCTACAGCTAAGAACATTTGGTGGGGGAGGGGCAGAGGAAGAAGGAGACAGAGAGTCTTTTTTTTTTTTCCCAAAGATTATTCATTTATTTTATGACAGAGAGAGACACAGTGAGAGAAGGAACACAAGCACAGGGAGTGGGAGAGGGAGAAGTGGGCTTCCTGCCAAGCAGGGAGCCTGATGTGGAACTCGATGTGGAGCTCCGTCCCAGGACCCCGGGACCATGACCCGAGCCAAAGGCAGACGCCCAATGACTGAGCCATCCAGACGCCAGGAGACAGAGAATCTTAAGCAGGCTCCATACGGAGCCTGATGTGGGCCTCTATCCCACAACCCTGAGATCATGACCTGAGCAGAAATCAAGACTTGGACGTTTCGCTGACTGAGCCACCCAGGGGCCCCAAGCTAAAAGCATTTTTTTTTTAGCAGACTAAAAAGTAAAACTCATACCTGTGGGCCAGGAAGGCCAGTCTCTCCTTTTTCTCCTTTAGCACCTGGCATTCCCTGAATAGCCAAAAGCATTCGGGGTTAAGGTCACGTAGGGTCAATTCTTTGTCTTTTCTTTCTCTCCTCTGACTACGCTAACATTTTCAACATTAACTTGCTTTTGCGCTAACATCCAAAGCCGGCATGTTTCACTTCTCACATATGCTCCCCCCTGTATGTAAGCATTCCTACAGAGCTGAACATTTATACGGCACAACAGTTTAAACACAGAACATACAGTCTGATATGGCTGAGCCCAAACTGTACATCTGTGTGAGAGATGGAACAGTTCGATACTTTGATAGCTTAGATTTTTAAAGTTCATCTCTATCTAGAGTTTTGCTTTTGTTTTGGCTAGAAAGATAAACGAATGAAAAAGCAAACACAGAATCTGGCAGGTAGCAAGACCTTATCAAAGGCTTATTAGTAGTAGTAGCAATTGCATAACTGGAATGCTAATGATTTCTAAACTGTGAAAATAACCCAGAACAGAAAATTTCTCAGTGAGGGAGATAGAATCATATGCCCAGAAAGACGGCTAAAATGTGCTTAAAAGGCTTGTTTGCTTCAAATATTAATTTTATTTAATAGAAATTGGTTTTATTCTTGAAATCCTGATCCCTAGAGGAAGATTAATGACAATCAGTGAGTGGCATTAAATTTGTTTTCCGTGATATAAACAGCTTTTACAAACAGAGTGGCTGTATAAAAGTACACTGTCTATAATCTAAAACTCCAACTAAGTGCACTGTCCTTTGATGCCCACTGAGATAAAAATCATAAACAAATGGCTTCCATGAATCTATATCCATGATTACTACAAATACATAATGAACAACTTGAATTTGTTACTTTCTAGATTTTATTACATCTGTTAAGGACTTGATCCAACAAGAAAAAGGACAATACATGTAATAGCCCTGTTTCTCTCAGACAAATTGCTTATGGATATACCTACTCTGTGTGGATGTAACTATTTGCAAAAGACCCTCACCACTTAACAAAAAATTGGCTAATGAATGTACTCATGAACTCTCAGTTACTACTTCCATTTCTCAATTCTTATTTTTAGGGGTTGGAAGGGACTGAGGCTCATTATAAAGAGCACAGAAGACAAAAGTGCACTCTTTCTAACTCATGAAAAGGTGATCACAATAAAATCCACCCAAATGTTTACATACTACTCACAGGCATTCCTTGAATGGACAGACCACTTGGTCCTTGGGGTCCAGGGGGACCCTGGGGTCCTGGAGGGCCTGTGTCACCTCGAGGGCCCTCTGGTCCCTGGAACACAAGAGAAGATAATCATTCCAGAGGTAAGTTAGATTCTCGGTACTCAAAAGATATTTCTTCTTAGAGCACTTACAATTTATTTCCTTACGGAATGTTCCTAAGACACAAAACGCTGATAGGATAGAGCAAGACAACATGCCTCCCAGACAAGATGTCATCAGTAAACCAAAAGAGTAAACACATGGGGGTTGCTGCAACTTTAATTTTTTTCTTCCATAAATAAGAAGGCTATGCCAACTATGTGAGTAACTAGACCCCCCCACACTCCATAACAAATCCAAAATACAGAAATACTTCAAGACCACCCTCCTGGTCTGTGGCATGTAGGTTCATACCATCCAGCTGAACTACATTCTCTCCACCTCCACCCCTGTCAGCCACCCATTGTGGGGGCACTCCTGCATTACTGAAGACTTTGCCCCCAGTCCCTGTTTGCTTCCTCATTTTGACCCCACCATTCCTCTGTCTTCCATGTCTACCTAATGACCTGCCCTCAGTAATATTACTTGATTTTCTTTCTTCTCAGGATCAGGCATTCCTGTCACATTAGCAGCTCTTATCTCCATAGTTTGGACCTTGGTCTATCACCTCTGTAATCTTAGTTCTATAAAAACTACATCCTCAACCTCTTCTTGCCCTTCTCTCATTCTGGAACTCCAGTGAAAACTAGTATAAGTTAAGACTTCCAACACCTGGATATCATGTTAAATGTAAGACTGACGAATCCATTACTTGGGACAAGCAATACAGAAGAAAAAGTGGGGACGGATTATGAGCGTAGTCGGTTAAGTTTCAGGTTCATAGGGATAACCATGTGGACATGTCCAACAGTCTGGGGATCAAGAGATGTCTGAGCTGAGATGGATTTTGGAGTAGCTGAAGATGTGTTTGTGGGTGAGGTTCTTAAGGAGACTGTTGAGAGAGTAACAGAAGAAACTGATAACATATCAGAAGTAAGGGGTCAATGTTGGGATCATCAAACATCTTTGAGCTCCTAATAAGTCTTCATGATCAGAATCATCATCCAGTGAGAATGTTGGAAAAACAATGGGATCCTGCTGGGATCCCAGTGGGAGGAGGAAGCCAGAATCTGCAGGAGCTCCTGGGCACTGCCTTGAGGTGGAACTGAGGAAGACCCAGTGTATTGCTGTCTGAGAGAAGCTTTCTTTTTTTTTTTATTTTTTTTTATTTTTTTTTAAAGATTTTATTTATTTATTTGAGAGAGAGAGAATGAGAGAGAGAGCACACGAAAGGGGGGAGGGTCAGAGAGAGAAGCAGACTCCCTGCCGAGCAGGGAGCCTGATGCGGGACTCGATCCCGGGACTCCAGGATCATGACCCGAGCCGAAGGCAGTCGCCCAACCAACTGAGCCACCCAGGCGCCCCTGAGAGAAGCTTTCAAATCACTGGCCTTCCTTGTAGGATCATAAGAGAGAGAGCCAGGTGAGAAACATCAAGTCTATGCCTAAGATATGTGTCACAATATCAGAAAATTAAAAAAAAAAAAAGAGATATGTCATGTTTTGGGTTGGCTAGTGCCTCATCACCTTCAGTCTTCTTTCATTTACTGCCCCCCCCCAGTATTAGCTCCTACCTTGCTGCACTTGCTTCCAGTTTTACAGTAAAAATTTTTGCAGTGTTCTCTTCCCCATGAAAAAATACCATGCAAATTGAGTAAGTGGCCATATTGAAGCAGTAAGTCAAGACTGCAAGGTGGGTGGAGAGGAGATCATGTGGGGCAACAGGTACAAATGAAAAGGGGAGTCTAATTATAGAGAGCCTTGAATGCCACGCCAAGGAAGGTGAACTGTATTCTCAAGGCAAGAGCATATGACTATAGATTTAAAAGCATGATACGACCCAGCATAACTTTAAAGAAATAAATCTGGGGGCAGATGTGAAGAATCCATCAGAAAATCAAAATCACTGGAGCCAGCAGACCAGTTAGAAGATTTGCCAAAAGCCAGATAGAAGATGGTGAGGCCTGAATTCAATTAGTGGCTGGGCTTCTGCCCATCCCTTAGGGTGCCTTTGTGCAAAGTAGGAAAACGTGTGCCTGGACATGGCTTGGCAGGGCTTGGTCGTCTCAGCCGGTGCTTTTGTGCAGCGCATGGCCTACACCAGCACACATGGTGGCCCTGGGCAGTGAGAAAGGAAAACAGAGCTGTATGTTTGATTATACATAGTGGGGAGGGAGTAGGACTCTAAAACTTGGGAAATTACCTGGGAGGGAATGCTGCCTAGTTGTGATTCAGTTTTCTCCTTACTTTGTTGTAGGTCGAGAAAGAGAAGAATATACACAAAAGAATACTACCTTTGAAACTAAACCACTCAGAACACTGACATTCTATTTTTGACCTGGAAACCAACCTTTCTTTCACTAAGTTCTTAAATATTTTTATGAAAAAACAGAAGTCTTTAAGGGAAAAGACTTAGACACAACTTTCCACAAAAACATAAAGGGTTCTAGATTGCAAAGAGTAAAGAGTACTGAACTTCAAAATTATATTATTGCTAATTATGAGAGAGACAGAGGTACAGAGAGACAGAGAGAACATTACCTTTGAACCCTGTTCACCTCGTTGGCCCTTCGGTCCTCGGAGCCCTGGACCACCCTGGAGAACAGATGTTAAGTATTAGCACAAAGACAAGTCTTAAACAGCATATTTCACCCATTTTCTTCAAGAATATGGATTATGTAATTCTTATTTTGAATAAAGGCCAACTCATTGTGTAATGGTATATGTTCATTATGATCCTTTACTGGAAATCTGCCACCTACGCTCACCTCTTCCTGCTGATGATTTCATAGTTTGAGAAAGCTTTCTATGCCAAATCCTTTCAAATTAAAAAAAGCTACAGTATTTTGAAATTCAGTGTATAAAACTGCTACTATTAATGGATGCAAATAAAATACACTGCTAATCTAAAATTGTGTGTCTTATACCACAACTTTGAGATTATTCAATTAAATTATAAAAAGCATATAAAAATAGTTTTTTAATTGTGACCATATTGAAGCAGTAAATCAAGACTGGGATTTTTATTTTAATTACACCATAAAAGGCTAATCAGTGTTACTGAAACTTCAGTTATTTGCATTTTCCCTAATATTTTTGCCCTATTAAGGCACCATCTGCACAATTACTTAATATTATTTTCCTTATCTAGATATATCTGTACATAATAACATGTACATACGTATGTGTATATGTACTCTTGTGAACATATTCTTTGTATATATGTGCATAAATATATATGTGTCTACACTGAATATTTTTCAATTGACTCACTATTTCACTTAAATCTTAAAAGCAAACATTATAGCACTATAGTTAATGGAAAATGTATTACTTATTAAGAATAGAAAGTAACCTTAAAAATACACTATAAATAACGTTATTAAATTTAGCTAGACTTTGTTCCTATTGAAGTCTGTAAGCCATGGGCTTGTTCTTTGTTAAAAAGAGAGACAAGTAAGTATTAGTGTGCACCAGATTGAGAATATCTCTTTCACCTGAGCAGAAGGATTAACAGCACACTGAAAATGGAATAGCTTTCTCAGTGTGTGTTTCCAATTTATTTCCTGAAAAGCATGTTGTGTGCCATCAGCAGAACACTCACATCACTTGGGTAAAGACTGGATCTGGTGGCCTTTAAGGTTTCTTCCAGCTTGTTTTAAACACTTAAATTCATTCCCCTCCCCAATAACACCTGGTTGCTTATCTTCCAGACATTAATTTTTTTTTAAAGATTTTATTTATTTGAGAGAGAGAGAGTGAGCACAAGCAGGGGGAAGGGCAGATGGAGAGGGACAAGCAGATTCTCCCACTGAGCAGTGGGCCCTATGTGGGCTGATCCCAGGATCCTGAGATCATGACCTGAGCCGAAGGCAGACACTTAACCCAGTGAGCCACCTGGGCGCCCCTCTTCCAGACTTTTAAAATATAATTATAAAATTGCACTATATGCGGAGTGCCTGGGTGGCTCAGTCGTTAAGCGTCTAGCCTTCGGCTCAGGTCATGATCCCAGGGTCCTGGGATCAAGCCCCGCATCAGGCTCCCTGCTCCACGGGAAGCCTGCTTCTCCCTCTCCCACTCCCCCTGCTTGTGATCTCTCTCTCTGTCAAATAAATAAATAAAATCTTTGAAAAAATTCTTCGAAAAAATTTTATTATATGTATATATGTACCTATAGAAACTATTACCTATAGTATTTTTGTACTATTATATGATGTATTATAAATTACATATGTGACATCACACTTCTTACATACTCCTAAGTTTTTTAACTTAATTATTTTAGAGATTCTTTTCCATGACGTAACATATGATTTAGCTTATTCTGACCGAGTTGCGTAGTTTTCCAAACCTTGGATTATATAATCGTTTGTTCAACCATTCTTTATGACTGAAAACATAGGGTTTTCTCACACTTTTTTTTTTTTTTTTGCTGTTTAAACACTTCTGCCATTAACATCCTTAAACAGCCCTGAAGTACAAACTTTAATATTTAAGTGCAAACGTTAATATTTAGGATATCGACAAGTAGAATTATAAATGAAATTTGATTGGTAGGTAGATTATATTGTCAAACTGTGCTCCAAAAAACCTGTGCCAGTTTACTCATCCACCAAGAGTTTAAGAGGGTTCCTGCTTTTCTAAACCTTAGTCACCACCTGATCTTGAAGGGGAGCAGAATTTGTCACCTCACAGTGTGCCCCTTTGGCGTAAGGATTATTTTAGTCTGATTATTTAAGAAACTGCAGACACGGGAGAAGCCCTGAAAACCAAAAACTGAGTAAAAGTTTTATAAGAGACGTTTACATTTATGAGGGATGCCTCCATTTGTAAAGGTGTCTCCTTCTGTACCAGGAAAAAAAGGATGATTCTAAATCTCTAGAAACTTACTTATGAAGAAGGCAGAGACTAGGGTCTGCACAACAGCTTCACCCTTGTTTGCTGCACCTTTCCTGGTAACCTCCCTAAACAGACTCTCCATCCCTAACAGCCCCACCCTTTTTTTTTTGTCTTTAGCTGAAGATGATATTTAAAATGCTGGCTTCAGCCATGTTGGGGAGTTATTCAGTTTTCCTCGGTATGTCCCATGTAAACAGGAGGTATGTGTGTTATTAAACTCTTGATTATTTCTCTTCTGTTAATCTTTTTATTAAAGGGGTGTCTTAGCCAACAATACAGAAGAGTAGAGGGAAAATTTTTTTCCTCCCCCAACAATGTTGTCAAACTTTACATTTTTACCAAACTAATTGGTAAAAAATAATATCTTACTCTTATTTTAATTTTCATTTTCCTTAACACTACTTTAATGGGGCATTTTTTCATAACATTTGCCCATTTGCATTTAATCTCAATGCAACTACCAATTTCTATATCTTACTCAGTTTTCTAATGGGTTGCATGTCTTCTTCTCTTTAATGTGTAGAAATTCCTCATATATTTGGATACCACACCTTTCACTGCTATATGGGATGCAAATTATTTTTCCCCAGAGTGGCAGACACTGTTGGTTGGCTACCAAACAGTCTTTCCTGACTCCCTTGTCCATTTTATTTCTCCTACTACAAAGGCTGAAAAAGACGGATTTGCTTGCCCCGCCTCCTTTGCAACTAGGAATGGGCACATTAGTCACTTTGGGCTAATGTGATCAAGAGGCCACAAGCCTATAGAAAAGAAAGTGGGAAGCTGGGACAAGCTTGGGGGACCATCCACCTCTAAATCTTCTGTTGCACAAACAAGAAATATCTAAGTGTCCCAATGGTTTACACTACTGTGTCAGTCGAATTTTCTGTTCCTTGCAGCAAGTGCAATGCATCCCAATTAATATACCATTCTGGCACAAACTCTTTAACTTTTTCTGCGCATCTTTAATGATTGGTTTTTCACTGCAGGTTTTGTTCAGATGTGACAATTTGGCTCATAGCTATTCATGCCAGAGGCACCATGTCTAAAAGCCTGGAGCCTTTTATTTTTGTAACTTATTTTGCACCTTATCCTTAACCTTCAACACTGAGCACATGACAAGAATTCAATACATTTTTGTGGATGTTAATTTCCACAAAATAAGAAAGGGTTAGTCTAGGCAAGGGGAATATGGTTCATTCACCCATACCTTCCTACAGCTGTTTTGTAGATTTATTGGCACAAAACACCCACGTGTAAATTCTTTTTTTTTTTTTTAATTTATTCATGAGAGACGGGGGGGGGGGGGGAGAGAGAGAGAAGCCAGGGAGCCCGATGCGGGACTCGATCCCAGGACCCCGGGATCATGACCTGAGCCGAAGGCAGACGCTTAACCATCTGAGCCACCCAGGCGCCCACGTGTAAATTCTTGAATGAGAATTTACCTATGTTAAATCATTAGCCAGGGTTTATTGCATATTGTTTCAAATACTATTTCTTGAATAGTTTATTATACTTTAAATATTTGAAAATTTTAATAACTTTTCTCCTATTTTATATCTTTCTTTCCAAGTCAGAGCTCAACCCTTCTCTTTCACTTCTCTGCTGCTTTTTTCTCATTACAAAGTTTGACTCTTAGGTCATATGTAAATATTTTATAACTTGTTCCAGCAGTATTGCAGATGAAAAAACTTGAAAACCCACCAGCTAAAAAAGCTTATTAATGCTGCTTAAAATAAAACAAACATTGTTATAATTAAGAACTGAATGCATAAATACCAGGAATAAAGAATAAAGAAAAACCAGAGATGCAAGCATGTGCACAGAGACTGCCCTGGGGGAGGATGGGGAAAATGGTTCAGGATTGCTGCAAAGTTTGTATTGTATAGCCCACACAAAGGAAGGAAATGTGAACTTGAGCCTATGATAGGTGGGGGCAGGGCTGAAAATGAAATGTTTAAAGCTGAGGAACTTGAAAAGCTTCACTGTGAATCAGGTAGGGGAACAAACAAACAAACAATAAAAAATAGCAGGTGTATGACCAAGATGTTGCTTCCAATGTTCCAATGTAGCTATGGGAGGAGTAGGAAACATCTTTGCTAAGAAATATTACCCAGAAGCTGATTCTCAGACGTTCTAGAGATCAGAATTCATACTGCCTGTCAGGAGCAAACACAACTCCAAAGTCAAACATCTATGGTGGATTTCAGTTGGTTGTCTACCCAGAGGCTTAGCAGAAGCAGGCACAGATATTCTCTGGAGGAATATAGCCCCAAACTGGCTCAAAATATCCCCCGAGATAAAATTTCAAGTAATACAGCTCAAATATACACCCCCCAAAAATCACACAGTACATATGGAAACAAGATAGCATGAGTAACATCAGCAGAAAAAAAAAAAATGGCAGACTCAGAAACACATACAATGCAGATATTGAAATGATCAGATAAAAAAATAAACTGTACTTAAAATATTGAAAGAAAAAATAGTTTTGAAGTATTACAAAAGAAGAAAGAGTATAGAAATGCCCAGAAGTTTTGAAAAGGAACCAAATATAACTCTAGCTGTGCTAAATATAGTCATCAAAATCAGAAATGCAATGGATAGGTTAAATAGCATATTAAACATAGCTAAATATAGAATACACTAGAAACTAAATTTGAAGAAATTACACAGAAGAAGCCTGGAGATACAAGCAGAAATAAATAACAAAAATTAAGAGACGTGAGAGTAAAAAAATACATCAGTTGAGTTTCAGAAAAACACAATAGAGATGATAGGAGAGAGGCAATATTCAAAGAGATAGTGACTAAGAAAACTCCAAATTTAACGAGAAACATTGCCATCGAAACTCAACTCCAAATTTAACAAGAAACATTGCCATCGAAACTCGTGAAGTCATAAGTTTTCCAAAATGGCAGATTATCTACATCAAAACCCCACACCAGAGCATACCATAGCGAAACTTCAGATCACTAAAGACAAAGGGATCTTGCAGACAAGATCTTCCCGTTTATTAGTTTGGAAAGTTGTCTCACCGCTTTAATTAAGGCCAATATTAAAAATTTTTAAGCAAGACAGGAGGCTTATTATTCTCTCATATTAAAATCTGAGCTGATAATCGGTTTAGTGTACTAGAGTAGCTTTACCACGTAAGGCAACGTGGAAGCTCAGTTGCTTCCATTTTATTGCTCTGCTGTGTTCTAGGACACTGCTTACCAAAGTGAACCACTATCACATGTTCCCAGAGTAGTGCGTTGAGAGGGGTGAGGATGGATAAGGAAGTTATTTTGTTTTCATTTAAGAACAACGTCTAGGTTGACTGTATATCCCTTTTCTCTCACTGGCCAGAACTTGGTCATAAGGTGATACCTACTTGTGCAGATGCTAAGAAGTCAAGTGCCTAGGTGAATGGCCATGTACTTAGCTAAAACTCGGGGAATTCTACTATGAAAAAGAAGCAGTGGCAATGAATACAGGAAGTACAATCAACAATCTCTGTAACAACCATCAAAATTATCTTTTGATAATATGGGAAATAAAAGCATTTTGCGATGAACAAAAATTGAAAATTTACTATCAGTAGTCTTTCATTAAAAGAACATCTTGGGGCACCTGGGTGTCATAGTTGGTTAAGTGTCCGACTCTTGGTTTCGGCTCAGGTCATGATCTTGGGGTCCTGAGATCGAGCCCCATGGAGGGCTCCATGTTCAGCAGGGAGTCTGCTTGAGATTATCTCTCTCCCCCTCTCTCGGACCCTCCCCCTGCTTGCTTGCACATTCTCTCTCTCTCAAATAAATAAATAAACAGAAGGAACATCCAAAGGGTATATTCCAGGAGAAATAAAAATGTTACCAGAAGACATTGTGAGCAAAGAAATAGCAAGTATAGAGGCAAGTCTTAACACATAGTGATTTATAACAAGTACTAATAAAATGTCTAGTTTGTGATGTTAAAAAAATACTGGATAGCAGGGCGCCTGGGTGGCTCAGTTGTTGAGTGTTTGCCTTTGGCTCGGGTCATGATCTTGGAGTCCTGGGATCGAGCCCCGTGTTGGGCTCCCTGCTCCGCGGGAGGCCTGCTTCTCCCTCTCCCACTCCCCCTGCTTGTGTTCCCTCTCTCGCTGTGTCTCTCTCTGTCAAATAATTAAAAAATCTTTAAAAAAAAATACTGGATAGCAACAGTGCATAATTTATAAAAAGGATGATCCAAGAGAAATAAATTCCAAGAAAATCTATCTGTTGAAATAGGGTGAAAATCTTGATTCTTTTTAGACTTTGTCAAGCTAAATATGTTTGTTAAAATCTCTTCGTTGACTACTAAAAGAACAGCTACAGAGAAGTATAATTTCCAAATTAGGGGAGGGGAGAAGAAAAGAATAACAACAAAAAGCCAAAAAGTGTAAATAAGTAGATAAAACCTCAACCAACCAAGAAAGTCACATATATACATCATGTGGGACAAATAGAAAGCAAAAAGTAAGGTGGTAGATATAGGAATATTGGCCCAAAGAGGTTAATTATCACAAACAACAGAATGAATGGACTAAACTCTAAAAAAATTACAAAACCAGATTGAAGACAAAACCTAGCCATATACTATTTAAACAGAACTCATCTCAAACTTAAAGACAACAGAAAGGCCGAAACTAGAAGGATGAAGAAAATGGGCATTAAGGAGGGCAGGTGATGTGATAAGCACTGAGTGTTATATGCAACTGATGAATTATTGAACTCTACATCTGAAACTAATGATGTACTATACATTGGCTAATTGAATTCAAATAAAAAATATATACATATACCCGGAAAATAACCCAAAAGAGAAATGATATTGCGAGTCATTAGCAAGATGACTGTTCTCGATTTTTTGTACACTGTAACACAATCTCAGGATATACAAAGCAGAATTACAAACAAAATTGGACAGATTGAAATTGAAGTAGAAGATTTTAAACATCTATCTCAGCAATTGAAAGATGAAGAATTATTGCAGATAAAGAAGATTCTAGCAACATAATTTACAGTTTGATTTACTGGATATTTATATTTAGAACTCTTAACTCCACAATTAGAAAACACACATTCTTCTAAAGCATACATGGAACAGCTGTAAAACTTGACAAAAGGCCACAAAGCAAGTGTCAAAGAATCAACAAATGTCCAAAAATTGGTACTATGGAGACTATCTTCCATAAAAAAGTGCAATAAAATTAATACAACAAAAAAATAAAATTGCACATATGATCGGAAATTTAAAAAGACACTTCTAAGTGAACTGTGGCTAAAAAGAAGGAATAAAGAAAAACATAAAAAATGATAGCTCACAGAATTATTAAATTTAACTACATTGGATTTAAAATTTCTAGACAATAAAAAGTCCCATAAACAACAAGGAAGCCACAGACCAGGAAATGATATTTGCAAACCATATCATTAATAAAGGATTAGTTTCCAGAATACATAAAACCACTTAGAAACTAATAAGCAGAAAATCTGCACAACAAAATCCCAGAAAAGTTTATAAACAGGCATTTATATAGAAAGGAATTTAAATGACTCAGAGACAAATGAAAAATTGCTCCATCTTACTAACACAAAGGGAAAGTCTTATTTAAAATAACAACCACAGGGGTGCAGGGTGGCTCAATCAGTTGACTCTTGATTTCAGCTCAGCTCATGATCTCAGCATCTTGAGATCAAGCCCCAAGTTGGGCTCCATGCTGGGCATGGAGTCTGCTTGAAATTCCCTCTCCCTCTGCCTCTTCCCCCATTTGTGCTCTCTCTCAAATAAATAAATAAAATCGTTTTTGTTTTTTTTTTAAAGAAGTCTATACAGCCTTGTGGCTAAAAGCTTAGATTTTATTTTAAGATTTTTATTTGTTTATTTTTCAGAGAGAGAGAGAGCATGGAGGGGAGGGGCAGAGGGAGAGAGAGAATCTAAGCAGACTCCTGATGTAAGGCTCAATCTCCCGACACCAGGAGATCATGACCTGAGAGCCAGAGAGCACAAGTGGGGGGTGGGGGGTAGAGGGAAAGGGAGCAGCAGATTCCCCGCTGAGCAAGGGGCCCAAGGTGGGGCTCGATCCCAGCATCCTGGGATCATGACCTGAGTCAAAAGCTGACGCTTAACCAACTGAGCCACCCAGGTGCCCCTCGTTAGGCAAGTTTCTTAACATCTCTGTGCTTTGGTTTGCTCATAGGATTAAGTACATGTTTAGCACAGTGGCAAGCACATATTAGACACACAACAAGTGATAACTATGAATATTGTTAAAGAACATTTAAGTCTGAATGAGGCAAGACTTACTGGTGGGCCTGCTGGTCCCAGAGTCCCAGTATTGACTTCAGAACAGGAGCAGGAATGTGGTAGCTCTGGGCAGGTCTCCTCATCCCTCTGAAGGGAGAAAAAAAAATAGCATAACTGTTAACAAGACAACCTATACAAATAGCTTTATGGACTCAAAGAAAACACTTTGATTTAAGACACTTAAAAAAAACCTTTCAAGTGAACATTGGTGTGGAAAGGCAAAGAATATTCTCTCCTGCCCACAAAATATTTTCCTTTAAAGAAAAATGAATGAGTGTCTAGTGAGTCACTGATAATCATCATTACCAAAGGATGTTGATAAAATGAGCTTGGGGATGCAAGTGAAGAAAGGAAGGCAGAAGTGTGTGTAAAAGAGATTCTGGTTACTATTTCATTCAGTTTGAGTAGGAGTACTCTATGAACTAAAGGTCTTGAACACTGTCTTATTTCTATTTCAAAGGATTAAAAAAAAAACCATGTTGGAATAGTCGATCAGAACAACTGCATCTGCACTAAAACACATAAAACAAAATAAAAACATTGCTTAAACGCATCATCAAGTCCCTGCAACAACTTTCCTTATGACTCATGTTCTGTGGTTGAACATAAGGAAACACCAACAGTATCCATCTAAAGCTTTGGGATAGGAGCTCATTTTTCTGCTCTTGCACAATTTCGTTGCCACATGACATTACAAGATAGATTATGAACATCAGTCTAACATCTCTGGATGAGTTACTGGGGTATGAAGACAGAGCACCTGCTAACAGCTATCATGCAATCTGTGGCTATCCCATTTGAAGTACTGGCCAAAAAGAAGTCTACACTGGGATAAGAAACTGCAGACCTTCATAGGGTTCACCAGTCCTGTTGGACAGGGACAAAATAAGCTTCACTTTTTAAGAATCAGGGGAAAAGTAAAGCTGGAACTGAATAGAGCACGGATGATAATTAAATGATCAAGTGGAAAATAATCTCAGTCTCTGAAACGTTCACAACGGAAACCCAGGAAATGTTGAGCAGAGGGCCCATGTGTACTATATATACTTTTCTCTAAATATTGTACAACAGTCAAAGCTTTCAACTCATTATAGGAAACCCCCCTGCTTGGGTTATACTTGGTATTAATAATGATAAAAAGATTGATTTTCTGTAACATCACACAGGTTATACAGATTATGACTACGATTTTAGAACTGTGTTCCAAGATGCCTTGGGGCACCTTAGCAAACTTACAGGGGCACCGTGAACATTTTAAAACCTTAAGAGAATTAGCAATATTCGGCACCCATTGGACTTCATATGAACCACTAGCTCAAGGTAGCTCACAATCTTAACATTAGATATTGAAATACTTTTCTGATGATGTCATATACTTGCAAATCTGGGGTTCTGGCAGTTGCTATGATGGAAAGCAAGTACCATGGAAAAAATCAATAGGAAAAAGAAGTGAGGTGGCAACGTCCAATCAGATTCCAACATATGAAAAATTGGGTACTCCCGACAGGCTCATCCATCCCATTTCTAAGTTGTTCTGGTTATTTAGGAATAAAATAACAATCCCATTTTCTTCTTTCAATTCATGTGTATTATTTTTTCATATGGCTACTGAGTTCTTAGAGCATAAACACTTAAGATTTTTGGACCTAATGGATTCATATATGGAATTGTTTGGCATTTTTTTTGGCTTAGTGGTACCATGGAAAAAATTATTGCAACTTTGCAAAAATTATTGCAAAGGTTTCCTGAACTAGGAAGTTTGAGAACCTCTGGACTCTGTGTAATGGTACCCCCTGAAGGTGTGCAGCTCCCGCCACGCATGTCAGTATGTCCTGCTGATGTCAGACACGCCTCCTTAACCTCTTCTGATTTTCATTATCATTACAATGAATTGGCTTGTTAGGAGTTTTATGAAATAGCATTTAATTTTCAGGGAAAATCAAATACAATTTTAGAACATTTCAATAAAGAACAGACCTACTAAAAAAAGAAGAATTCTTACCAGGCCTGGAAGTTCACAGCATTTATCTCTATTGGCCCATGATGTGGAACAGATAATATCAAACATCTGTAACTGGAACTGCAATTTAAAACAAAATTGTCATTCAATAAAAAATAGATACACTCCGTCTATAATTATGATTTCATATCCTGTATCACATAATAGAACTGATACATTTGTAACCTAACTTTACAGTAAATAAAGTCATTCTAACAATATCAAATTGATTTTGTTCCTCAGACACACAATGATTTAAGATTTTGTCTATAGTTACTCCATTCAGCCTCTAAACTCCTGTATTTATCACAACTTCTCATCTCTGCCTGAAGGATCTTAGCACCCCTGTTGAAACTCGCCCCGTTCTGCCCTCATGGTCATGACCAGTTCCTCTGCCACCCCACAACACCCTATGTTTCTCTTTCCTGGCACATGTCCCACCATACAGTGTGATTATTTATATTAGCTCCTCCTTAGACTGTGAGCTCTTCAAGGGACAGAGAACCACTTCTTCATCTTTGTGTCCCCATCGTATGTGGGAGGTAGTAGGGATTCACGAAACCTTGTCAAATTAATTCTGACTTCAATCACTTATACATACATTCAACAAATTTTTCTTTAGTGTGTAATGCAAGCCAGATACTACATCAAACTTTAGAATATAAAAATGAACAAAACCAAAATCCTGCCCTCAGAGATCTTACCAGGAGCGAGAGGTAGGCACATGAATGCTGTTTACAACATTGTAAGTGTTGTGACAAATTCACAAATAGTATTGTGAGAATCTGTGCTGATGTATTTTTATTTAAGCCATTGATCATGCCATAAATATTGGTCTTGTTCTACTCATGTACATTGGCAAAACCCAATGTACATTTTGAAATATACAGAAACATCATTATAATATTATTAAGGGCTGACATTAGCTTCATGATCCAACCAATCCTAATATTATGTTTCTTCTGATATTATTTTTGAGTATTACAAACTTCACCGATTACAGAGCTGAGAGAAAGATGGAATCTTTTCATTTTAAACCTACAAACTGCCTTTAGCAAGTGGTGTTTTCAGCAAGTGCTAGAAACTTTCTTGGTGCCTTATTTTCTCCCCAAAATACTACTCATCCCTGTCAGGGGTCCCGTAGATGAAAATGAGAATACCTAAGTAGAAAGTACTACAAAATAGTTACTCAACAATGCATGCAGCGTCACAGAAGAGCCTGCTCTATCTAACAGTAAAGAGAATAAAATCAAGCTTTCTCTTGTAATACGTAAGAACTGTGCTTTGCTGCAAATATGCTTTCCCAAGTGAGGTTTGCAAGATTAATAAAGTAAAGCTTAAATTTTGAAAGCAGATCCATGAATTAAGGCATCATGGTTTTTTTTGTTGGCTTGGTTTCTATATACAATTATTGAGTTGTCTGAAGAAATACGTGCATGGCTCGCTGCTCTTTTTTTTCCAGATTAAAGAAAAAAGTTCCCAATAGGTAGGATATCAGAGTCTGTGGAGGGCAAACATACAACAAAATAAAGATCATCAAAAAATTCAGTTGTTAAGGTTTTTGGACCAAGAAAAAATAGGTTTTTTCCCAAATTAAAACATTTTTAAGGAATGTGGATGCTGATTTTTATGAACAATAGCAACAAAAGTATTTCAAGGACCATAGGGGTGAGGAAGCTATGGAGCTAGACTGCCTGAGTGTAAGCCTCGAATCCTCCTCTCACAAACTAAGTCATTTTGAACAAATTATGTAATGTGTTCAAGTCCAAGTTTTCTTCATCTGTAAAATTAATATAATAATAGTAGCTCTTTAATAATAGCTATTCATTAGTGTAATAATAGTAGGTATAACAGTAAAATGAGTTAATGTAGGGAAATATGTATAACAGTGCCTAGAATATAGTTATTATAAATAATAAGTATTATTATTTAAAGATTTTATTTATTTATTCATTTATTTGAGAGAGAATGAGCAGAGGGAGGAACAGAGGGCGAAGGACAAGCAGACTCCATGCTGAGTGTAGAACCCAATGCGGGGCTCAACCTCACGACCCTGAGATCATAACCTGAGCCACATCAGGTCATGCTTAACCAACTGAGCCACACAGGTGCCCCTAAATATTATTTTAATGGAGCATATACAGCCCTTTCATTATTGAATTCTTTAAGGTGCGGAAGAATATAATACAAAGGCCAAAAGAGTAGAATCTAAATAAAAGTGATATGTACTGAGGGCAGAAATATAACAGTAGTTTGTTTCCACAATTATCATATCTGTTTAATACTTTGGTTGAGAAAAATCTAAGCAAATAATGGCAACAATAGCAGTGGGCATATTTTGAAAAACTACAATGTGCCAGGCACTATCTCAAGGACTTGCCTGTATCATATAATCTTTAGATCACCACTATGAGGTATATATAATAAGTAATGCCAACCCCATTCTGCAGATCGGGACCTAGGAAGAAAGAACCTAAGAAATGTAAGCACATGTTGAAATTGGAGGTCTGGTTGGGATTTGAACAGCATGTTTCATTTTCTTGTAGTTCATTTTGCAGTGAAAGGATCTTTGGTCTAATGTTTAAAATGCGGATACACCAGCCTAACTAACTTTACAATGCCATTTGTCTGGGGGCATTTATTAAATGGGGCCCATTATGACAGTATTAGATAGATCCAGTTCAATCTAAGTCATTCATCCATTAAGAAATTCCCCATTTTTGAATAAAGCCCTCAGTGTAAAAGCATTTTATTGAATGGAAAGATGTATGTGAAGGAAAGGACTTTCATTAGCCCCAGTAAGGACCAGGCTTTCTTGAAGTTTTTCAAATAAACGTTTACCACCTAATCACCTAAAACACTATGATGTCTACATACACACCTTTGGCTAAACTTATATCCCATGGAGTTATTGGGATCCTTATGAGTTCATCTTATTTATTCAAGGGGTTGAATGCCTACTAAGTGCTGAATGAAGCCAAAACTATCATTTGAGGAATGCTTGTGGGTTGTCTTTTCTTTTTCAAGTTTGATGAAGTCAGCAGCCTTCTGTGTTTGTGTGTGTGAATACAACAAATTTATTCATAATTGTTTTGCATTCGTAATAGCTTAGATTCCTCAGCCTTTATTTCAGGACTTCTTTCCAAGGCACATTTCTGGGGATTGATTAAAAAAACCCTCTGGCTTTTATTCCAAAAGCAATGACATACATATTTGTAGAGAAATTATGTAGGAAACAGTACAGACATGTCAAAAGATTTTATATTTCAGTGCCTGAAATGCAAGACAATGCGGTTCAAAATGAGCAAGAGTCAGACTCTTTTTACTTTTCGTAACTTCTTTCCTTTCTAACTAACTGAACATTATAAAAAATATATGTGCAAAAAAGAGAGCAAGAGAAAAGGCATGCATGAGCTCCTACTTTCACCTTTTATAACACCTTCCAAGGGAATGCTTAGCCAATTACAAAGGCTAGTTTTTCATTATTGGACCTTTTGTTCTGGGTGTAACACAAAAGGCAACTCATTTGGGGTCAAATGTTAGCATGAAAATAAGATTAAAATATTTCTCATCCGTTGAGTCACTGTGATCTGTGAATGGGAATAAAAATGTAGCCTGGCTCAACTTTCCACTCATTACCACATTTTATCCTCTGGTATTTCTCCAGCATAGCATAACTAAGCTTGTAATTTGAAGTCAAGCTATACCTAAAATTATACAAATATTTAGAGAGATTTACACTGCACAGGAATACTGGAGAAAGAGCATGGAGCACGTTGGCCACCTTCTGCTTTAATTTGGTGTTTAACTTTTACTGACTCCATCTCAAAGCTAAGATTTATTGAGCATCTACCCCTTCCCAGCTATTTAACATGGTGTTTTTACTTGCTTTCAATCAATTCATTGAATTTAAGGGAAACCATAATGGCACTAATTCAATGAAGAGATGAAAATTAACAGCCATTGTACCTATTGGTAGTCATTAAAATGTTTAGGTGTAGGCATACTTTGTGGGGGAACATTTTGATTGCATTTACTTTCAAGGTCAGAACTGAAATAATGGTGAGTCTCTGAACATGTCAGGGAACAGACAGGGCATACACACAGACCAAACTCCCTCCTCTGCTTTAAGTTCCTTAATGATCAGCCTGACCCAGGGGAAGAGAGCTTAGCATGGTAGGCAGGTATCCCTGTGCAAGTCAGATACAGTCTCATATCTTATTTTCCTCACTTTTTGAAAGGGGATCCCTCTCTAACTTCTTCAAGTCTCAGTTTCTGAATCTGTAAAGTGGGGATAATATAAGTGTCTCTTCCTGTGGTTATTGGAAGATTAAACAAGATAATCTCAGAAAAGCACACACTGCCTGGTCCATCGCAGGCATGCAATAAATATTAGCTACTATTATCATTTTAAGGATTGAAGTATATAATCATAGGAAAACATGATTATTTTCTTATAGTTTTAAGAACACTTGTTTCTATAGCATCATTGACTAGTCTACTGTTGATTCCTACATAAAAAATTTAACTCAGTAAATCATGTTATAAAAAACTCTGTAACATAACTTGTATTTGTCTTTATTTACATAGCAGAGGACTAAACAAAAATCAATTGGATAATCATAAAAGTGTTAGATTTGAAATGGGAAAGAAAGACACTAAGAACATGATCACGCGCCAGAAGCTCAAAATATTTCTAAGATCATCTCTGGCAGCATTACAATTTCATCAGGTATCAGAAAAGGTAGAAGAAAATTCTTAGGAGAGAGAAGAACAGAAAGGAGAAACACAGTTGTTAAGTTTCTTCCCATGTGTGTTTTGACGGCTAAATTAAGCCAATTTATACACTTAGTCCCACTAGGGACTCTTCACTATCTATAACATCTCGCATTACTGAACACAAGCTATTTTTATTACAAATGTGAGCAACTTCGATATAGTAGTTACTGTAGCCCTACATCCATTAATCTCTCCTCCACTCAACTTTGGTTTAAAAAGAATCTATTTTCTTTAAGGACTAAATATTTAGTTTTCCCATCATCTGTCATTTTTTTGAACCACTGCTGAATTTGCCAGGGAAT